TATTTGGCCCTGAAAAGAGATTATTGGTGGCCCTGTATGAAGAGGGATGTGGCTTGGTTTGTAGAGAGGTGCTTGACATGTCGCATGGTTAAGGCAGAGCACCAGTGTCCGCATGGCAAGTTGCAGCCGCTTGAGGTTCCCCAGTGGAAGTGGGAACAAATTTCCATGGATTTTATCACCAAATTGCCGAGGACTACGAGAGGCGTCGATGCAATTTGGGTGATCGTCGACCGGCTGACAAAGAGCACTCATTTTCTTGCTAATAGTGAGAGCTCTTCCATAGAGAGACTAGCAGAAGTGTATGTGAGAGAGGTGGTATCGCGGCATGGTGTACTGATCTTGATTATGTCAGATGGAGATGTGCATTTAACCTCCAGGTTCTAGAAGAGGTTCCATGAGGAGTTTGGTACTATGCTGCATTTCAGTACCGCTTACCACCCGCAGACGGACGGACAGAGTGAGCGTACGATTCACATGCTCGAGCACATGCTTCGGGTATGTATGTTGGACTTCGGAGGAAGTTGGGACACGTATCTGCCTTTGGCTGAATTTTCTTATAACAACAGCCACCATTCGAGCATTAGTATGCCTCCCCTTGAGTTATTGTATGGGAGTAGGTGTCGGAATCCCATTTGTTGGGGGGAGATAGGGCAACAAGTGATGGGAAGCACTGAGATAGTGCTTCAGACGACAGAGCAGATCCAGCAGGTTAGACACAGATTGCTGACGGCCCAAAGTCGCCAGAAGAGTTACGCGGATAGGCGTCTATCCGAGCTCGAGTTCCAGGTTGGAGATTTTGTACTCCTGAAAGTGTCTCCTTGGAAAGGAGTGATCCGATTCAGGAAAAAGGGCAAGTTGGGGCCCCGATATATTGGACTGTTAAGGGTTATTGCGAGGGTGGGCAAGGTAGCATATCGATTAGAGCTACCTGCGGAGTTGAGCCAGATTCATGATCCCTTCCACGTGTCGCAATTGAGGAAATGTTTAGCCGACGAGTCGACAGTGGTACCTTTGGAGGATATTCCGGTGGATGCGAGTCTGAATTATTCGGAAAGGCCAATCACGATCCAGGATCGAAGATCAAAGTTTTGAGGAACAAGGAGGTATTACTGGTGGTCCAGTGGCAACATCGAAAAGGGTCCGAGCTGACCTGGGAGCCGGAGTCGGAGATGCGGGTGCAGCATCCAGAGTTGTTTGTCGAGCAGGACTTCGAGGGAGAAGTATGATTCTAGTGTGGGAGAATTGTAACATCCGGATTCCCAGGTATCCTATGTTAAGTATTTATATGCAATCTATGAGAGGGACTCGGCGAGTAAGCGCTCAGACTCGCTGAGTAGAATCGCGCATCTTTTGGTCTGATTTAATGAAGGACTCGGCGAGTCCACGCTATCTAATGAAACCCTAATTTCTTGGGTTTGGGACCTATTTAAGGACCCTTATAGCCACCATTTGTGGCTACCAGACCCTTGAGTGAAACCCTAATAGTGCTTGAGCGTTTGTGAGGGAGAAGAAGCCATTATTGGACCTTTGTGGGTTTGTTTTGCAAGAAGAAGTTGATTCCAGCTTAGAGGGGGCCAAATAGGTTTCTTATTTGTGGATTGCAAGCAAAGGACATCATCCTTGAGGTAGCATATCGATCCTTTTTCTGTTTTGTTAGAGAATCCATGGATCTAGGGTTTTCTATACCCTTTATTGGGTTGATTTGTTGGGAATATGGTCCCTTATCATGTTCAGATATCAGATCTAGATCCATAGTGGTCCAGAGAACTTATTCCATCTTGCTTTATGAGGAGTTATGGAAGAAATGGACTTAGGATGTTGTATTTGGGGCTAAATCATCAAGTAGTGTCATTTGGACGTTGCATGAGTATCAAGTTTGAACCTTTATGTGTTTATTGAGCTTGGGGAGGTTAGATCTATGGATTAGAGGAACAGATCTGACCTCAGAAGGTCATTTGAGTATGAGCATGGAATGAAATCGCCGAGTCCATGAGCGGACTCGACGAGTCGAGTCGGGTTGCCATGCGATTCGTGACAGGTGTAACTTGTCGAGTAGAAGGAAGACTCGATGATCCATGAGAGCCTGAAAGGATTCAGAGGACCCGCTTGGAATCGTCGAGTCACCTTTGTGCACGCGACGAGTCGAGTCAAAGTTGACCGTTGACTTTTTGACTTTAGGGTTCTGGTCAAGGCTGATTCAGGAAAGTTCAGGGAAGGGTAGAATGGCCTTCTACCCAGTCTGTAGAGATGAGAACATGGGAGAGTATTGATCGGGAATGTTATTTGAATAATAGGAGGAGGCTAGGTCGGGGCATTGAGCACGAGAGTTTATCCGACTTCATTGAGGTGAGTCTTTTCACTATACTTTACCTAGAGTGGTAATAAGACTTATGTGACAGAGTATTTGTATGTTTTTACATGATGCGATTTCTATGTGATTTATGCTATGTATGTGCCAGAGTTTTCAAAGTTAGGACCGTAAGGTCCTCAGAGTTAGGGTCAGAGGGCCCACAGAGTTATGGGACTGGAGGGTCCCACTGAGACATATTGACCAGAGGGTCAACCAGAGTTATAGCCTCGAGTGGCTGATATGTATTGTGTGTTGTATTTTGGGGAACTCACTAAGCATTTATTCTTACAGTGTTGTGTTATGTGTTTCAGGTACCAGTGAGGATCGCAGGAAGGTGCCAGCCTGATCAGTACACACACGAGGAGTTTTTTATATTTTGATCTTGGGATGTGATGTTATGTTTGACTATGTGATACAATGGTGTTTTTATAATAATTATGAATGAAAATGTGTTTTATAAAACGTGAAAATTATTTTGAAAATTTTTTGGCGTTACATAGTTCAAAAAAAACTAGTGAACACACTTAGTTCAAAAATACCTAGTGAACACACTCAGTTCAAATACCTAGTGAGCACAATTAGTTCAAAAATATATAGCGAACACACTTAGGTCAAAAATACCTAGTGAACACACTCAGTTTAAAAATACCTAACGAGAACCTAGTTCAAAAACACCTACAGATTACGAGCCTGCTAGCGTTCCATTGGATTGTCTAGTATCGTCCGTGCTCGTCATCTATACTCCACTAGATGACTTGATCACTGTCAACATTGATGTCTTTCATCGTGTTAACACACAACTATTTCGTCTACCCATGTTTTACCCAACACATTTTGTAGATATAAAATACATATACAGTTTAAATCATTTAAAATATGTATAAAAATATTTCACCCAACATAGACAACAAGTATTCAGACAATATGTACACATAGCATGTAATTTATATTAAAATACTTCATATCTATGTGTAAGATGAAAGGGACTATGCACTCACCTGATTAGGTGGTGACTCTGTACTCGGACAGCGCTTCGTTATCTCAAAACAATTTTCCCTCGACAAAACCTAGTATAAAAACCACTAGGGTTTAGTCTGATGTTAAACACGACTAATTAATAGTCTAACTATTATTATTATTATATAAGCGCGACACAAAACTTTTCACCCACTATATACAGATGAGGCCAGACATGGAACACCGGATGGCAGGATCATTTCGGCATAAAAGCACTTCTGAATCTAGCAGCCCAAGCGGCCCACCAAACTGGAATCCCCGTACCACGAGTGGTTAAAAATATATTATAACGAAGCTTAAATAACCCATAATAATAGCCTAAATAAATATTATAAGTTCCTAATAACGATACTATATTAAAACATAAGCTATACTAGAGGTAGGGTAGGTATAGCTCACTTACAGCGGGTTTCCTTGGAAACCGGGCTCCGCCGGAGCAGAGTTTCTGAGCCGGAGGCTCTTCTTTTCGGAGTCATCAGGCGCCCCGAGGCTTCCACCTCGTGCTAGGGGGTTCCCTAGGCTTTTTGGGTGGTTTTTAGAGGTTTAGAGAGAGTTTCTAGAGAGAGAAAGAAAGGGTGAATGTGTGAGGTTGAAGGCTGCCCCGGCACCTCTATTTATAGTGCTCCTAGAGCGTCACCACGTCGTGGTGGCCCTCACCATGTCATGGTGTTGCGTAGGCTCCAAGTTTTCACCTGGTGCTGACACGTGGCATCGCACACTGGGTGGAAATCAACCGATTTTCAAAAATTCATAACTTTCGCATACGAACTCCGTTTTCGACGTTCTTTATATCCACGTGTAGGTAAAAATAACATCTACAACTCTCATTTAGACGCCTTCGGCTTATTCTCGACCAATCTTAAATTTAACGGTAGGAGGAGATTATATTGTTAAATGTCCGCGTAAAATTGATAACTTCTACATATGGACTCCGTTTTCGTCTATGTTTTTACCGTTGAGTTCCTATTAATGATATCTTCAACTCTCATTAACGTTGTGTAAGCCAAAAACCGCTCGAACTAAAATTCGAGTTTCGGGCTGTACACTGCTAAGCCGAATCTTAGAAAAATCATAACTTCCTCATACAAAGTCAGATTTGGGCGTTCTTTTTATGGATGTTCTCGGTTTAATGTATACTAGAACTTTATTTCAGATCACTAAGGCTAAAAATTCCTCCATCATAAATTCACTATTTACGTCTCCCGGTGTTGTGCCGGTTTTGCCGTAAAACTTTGACGGACCATAACTTCTTTGTTATAACTCGGATTTCGGCGTTCTTTATATGTACGGAACCCTTGAGACATATTATACAACTTGGTTAAGATTATTTATTCTAAAAAATCTTTTGTCGAAAAGTCATTTTCGACCCCTATTATCTCTCACGGCATCTGGCCAACAGGAACATTCACGCTCCCGTTTACATTGATCGGTCATGATAGGGAAAATGGATAACAAGGGTGCTCGAATTCTCGGTTATTAACCAACCGGCTGAACACAATATTTTACTAGGTTGGACAGCGCTTTTCCAGTTACAAGAAATTTCATCCACCCTCAATGGTATTCTCAAATTCAGCACAAGTGACAAATCAATAGTGGTAGTGGCAACCAAGCCATATAATGGATGTGATGCCCAATGAGAAACAAAGCAAGAAACCCAATTGTCTCGAAACGAAAGTTGCCAGAAGATGGAGGAGCCACAGCGGAGAAATGCAGCAACAAAGTGTTGATCCACAAGTCCAGGAAAAGGAAAAGAGATGTATTAAGTCGGCTCACAACATCTCTCCTACAGAAAGAAACAAGCGTTGACCTAAGGATGGCTCAGCCAGTGTATGGAACGAAAATCACAAAGCAAAGAAATGCCTACCAGGAGGCAAGAGAACCACTCTGGCCCACAATTGACGGTCGAACCATGCCCAGCCAAAGAGTGATTCGGGACTCAAAGTAAATCTTAGCCGACGTCAAACATAAACCAAAATCCTATAGAATGAAGGAGATAGGAATAAGGAGAAACCAAACCAGAGGCAGAATTCCACCCGTTCTAACACGTAAGCCTTCCTGTAGAAGTGAATCAACAAGAACCTGTGATGACCTAGACGACACCCCAAGCGACATTGTGAAAAGCAAGATTAATAGGTGCGCAAGAAACCGCGAGTGGTACTCTCACCAGGCTGCATGGAGGCACTCCCCACGATTGCAGCATGCACTGGGTAAAAAAGAAGGGAAAGTGCATGCACCTCTAGAGCATGAAAGATGAAATTCAGTGCTCTCACGCTGGGCCCCGGTGGTCGAAACGAGAGGGAACCCCAACCTATCAAGAAGCACTTGCAGTAGATGAGAAAATGATGAACGGTCACGACAAGGTAGTCATAGTAGAAAACTTAATCAAAAATAAAGCGAAGGCTGAGAAAAAGGAGTATGGTCAAACTCCGAATAGGATAACTATACTCCAGGTGCTGACGCGTAGATCGGGCATGCGCCCTGATACTTATACATTTAGGGCCTATTGTTTCATGTCTTTTTTTAATAGATAGTATAATTTGCACTTTAAAAGAGCTTTCCAAAATTTTGTTTAACCAATTGTAAAAACACAAAGTATAGAGGTTGCACATATTTTCCAAGTAGCAACAACGGTTGATCACCTATGCTACTTGAGCAAAATCTATGCAAGGATGTAACTGTAGCTCTTAAAAGATTCATAATCTTTACCTGCAATGTGCCAATAACATCTCAGAGCTGAGAATGTATAGATCCTAATTAATGTCACAAAAAAGGGGTTCTAAAAGATTCATAACCTTTCCCCTGACAATCGAACAGTAAAAGGCCTTGAGGTGACGATGTCGGCCAGCATACAGGTAGCTAAACCTCAAAGTGTAGTCAATAAAATTGACCAATATTCCCTGACTTCAAATAAAAAAAAAGCTTCATTACAACATACAAATCAGTGAAATATAAGTCAATAGTAGCGGCTATGTCACACCCCAAAACCATGAACGGCGGAAACGTTCTGTGGCGGAGGACGTCATGTACAGTATCACAATAATGAAAAGTAGTAAACAAGCAACAACATCATCCATTGCATTAATAATATAATTTTAATACAAGTGTGTTCTGTCAAATTATAATAGACACTAAAGTATAATCAAAATGAAAGATGAGTCTTGAACAAGCTCCATCTTCTATGAACCTTGCATCGGTACCTGTCCATCGTTGACCTGAGGATACAAGTTATTTTGAAAGGGAGTATCAGCTTTAAAGTTAGTGAGATCATAAGTATTAATGTGTCTTACTTTGTAAAACTTGTAATGAAAGACTTGAAATTGTTCTGAAAGAAAGTTCGTATAAGTATGAAATGTAGAACAACTGTAAACATTTGAAAAAAACCTAGAAATCCTTATGATTCCTACTATTATAAAAGGGAGTCTTCTACCAAGACCTAACTACTCTGAATGTAGCCTTCTACCAAGACCCGACTGCTCTGAATGTAGCCTTCTACCAAGACCCGATTGTGCTACTATTATTATTATAAGAAATTGTATCCTTTGGTACTAGGATACTCAAATATAATTCACCTCATCGGTTATGTGAATGAGTCACAAGATAAAGGTAATAATATAAATAACCTAAGTATTACCCTTTGGTACTAGGGTAACTAACAGTGTTAACTGAAGACACCCGTAGATGTACATTTACCTCTGTTGCTAACAGCTAGGTGTAGGAATAGTTAGTCCCTTTAAGTATACATGTAATGGTATCAACCGTTGACATCCGTGGATGTGCTTTTACCTCTGTAGCTAACAGAGATTCTAGGAATGGTTAATCCCGCAACGTATCCTTTGGTACTAGGATATTAAATCCAATCTATCTCGTCGATTATGTGATTGTATCACAAGGTAAAGATAAGAATGAGGATTATATAACATAATCTATACATATAAAATGTAATAATAACTCATCATATATTATCCATGTAAACGTACTCAAGTAAGCGTGTTTATGTAAATGTAATCATGTAAACATATCTATGTAATAGCATAGTAATGTACTGTAATGTTCTGCGTGTGCTAGTTGTAACATGTGTTCTCTCTCTATCTAGCAAGTATTGACTCATGAATGAACTGACTCATTATATGATATCATGTTCTAGTAATAGTTCTAGTATCTTCGTGAACTACCCCTATGCTAGCTTACTAGTAATGTAACTGGTACGTATGAACATGGACGTATACCCTTGCTACCCAATGGTATTGAATGAACTGGAAGAACCTTTATGACTATATATGTACACATGATATATAATTAATATTTAAACGACCTTCGGACGGATACCCGATACCCCACCAGACCACATCTCAACGGCGAAAAGGAAATAGGGAGGGCAGTCCTTCCTAAGCCTTTTAAACATTGCTTATATAACTATACATACATAGGCATAAAATTGATAATATAAAAGCATAAAATAAGTTTTTTAAAACCTTTGAACATGATTATTATCTAATAAAAGATCGACTTGATGTCAATCTATAAAACGGGTTGAAAGCATGGGTTTGATAAAACAGTTTAAGTATAAAGAAACATTTGTTTGAAACACAATTGTAAATGAGTTTGAAATGAAACCTACAGTGTAAAATGAACAGTTTAATAAGGAGTTTTAAATATATAAAACATTTATGAAAATCATGTGAAGAAAATTGTTTGGTAAAATAGCCAATGAGTAGTAAATCATTTGAATGCCGCTTATTAATCACATGTGATTAATATAATAACTAGCATGGTTCTACTTGTATCCCCCCCCCCCATAAAACATTTAAAAACATTTAAAACATTGATTAAGGGGTATGAACTCACCTGTTGTGAGTGGTATGGATGAACTGAAGAGGTAGGATGGCTAGGTGTCAAGTGAAGTATTGAACACACGCTATGATCCTAGTTAACATATAATATCATATATATGTATCAAATTAGTCTATAAAAAACTAATAAAAAAAGTCAAGACACCCTAGGACATGTTAAACACCTTTAACAAGTGTTATTAGCCTCTAGGATTGCATCTAGGTGTTGTAGGGATAAGCTAGTGTGTGTAGGGTTCAAGGAAAACTCCCTAATGGAGTTCACGGCCCTAATGTCACTAACAAATGAGTTTACGGTCATAAACTCATGAGTTTATGGCTGTAAGCTCATACTTACATGACCATTTGATGTTTGAGGCTCTACAAGACCCTAAGAAGCATTTCTACTTAATGGCAAGGTCTTTGGAAGAGTTTAGGGCATCCTATAACTCCTTTGAGGAGTTCACGGCCCTGGGACCAAACCCCTTGGAGATTACGGCCGTAATATCCCTTGGAAGGGTGTTTTTGGTGATTTCAAGTCCCTAATTTAACTAAGAACTAATCTAGGCTAGTGTCCAAGGCTTTAGGAGAGTTTAAAGCACACTTTGGCCCTTTTGTTTGGAGTTCATGGTCCAAGAACTCCTTGGGCCGTGAACACCTTACTCTTGGTGTTCTAGGGGTGTTGTCTAGTCCTAAACACATTAGGGTACAACTCTAAACTAGTTACATTGCAAGAGGAAGAGACTAGGGCACTTTTTGCCCCCTTAAAGAAGGGTTTACGGTCCAAGAACTTCTTGGGTCGTAAACTCTTAAATCTAGATGTTTCCTTGTGATTTCTTGATGCTAAGATACATAACAAGCCCTATATCACTCTTATATAGAAGGACTTACAATTTGGAATGAAAAGCTGAAGATCCTTGAGAGAGAATCCGACTTTTCTCTAGTTGGAAATGTAACAAATGAATAAATATGGCTCAGAATCCTATATATACTCATGGGTTTTTGGCAGAAAATAATTTCAGGCATTGAACTCTAATATCACAGAGTTTTGGAATAATAGAGTTGCACAATACCTTGGTGCATCCTCTCTCCTGATATCCCTTCAGGTGTAAATCCTGAAATACCCAAACTTATACCAAAAGTCTGAAAATTTACTGCACTGTTCTAACTTCTATTGACTTGATATGTTATACAGAATGGAAATTTCGGGTTGTCACAGGCTATACGATGTCTGAAGCACACATTCATTGATTAATATGAACCCTAGAACAAGGGAGCGAACAAAAAAGAATTACAGTAAAAGCGTCAAATAGTCCTGGCTTAAAGATACCACAAGACAATTCTATATATATATATATATATATATATATATATATATATATATTACAACAAAAACAAGAGGGGGAGAAGGTATTTCCATGCCAAGTACAAAGCAAAATACATAGTGCCTAGTTATTAACAACCATTGTTTCTCATTATACATATAATACATGGGAATGCAAATACATTGCAGGGTGAACAGAAGGGAAAAATAAAAATTAGTCTTCGAAGTCCGAGGAAGAGCTTCCCGGACCCGGTCTATGAAAAAACTGTCGGAAGCTATCATAATCCAACTCCCCCGGGTGAAAGAGACCCACAAAATCCGTCTCAGCAAGAGACGAAAGAGCAGTATCCACCTCTTCGGTTCTTCTTACGCCACAGCCAGGTTCCGGAGCTTCAGATTCACCGGAAATTGTTGAACAACCACCCAGTTGTTTCCCCTTTTCAAATACAAGGGCCTCAAAAGCATTGTGAATACCCTGGATCCCACTGGCAAACTCCATGCTCTTGATAACTTTATCAATTACGTGAACCACCCCTTTTTCCAACATCCATTTCAAACTGCCTCGGGCAACGGCGCCATCAACCCGAGCACGGGCCAGTTGACGTTGGCACCTGGACAACTCACTCTCTATACACCCTTCTCCTAAGTAAGGGAACTCACTTGATTTTTTAGTCATTCCGTTCGGCCCTCCAAAGGGGCCACATGATCCTCCGAAGCGGCCTTCTCATGGGCCACATTACAATTCTTTTTGGATGGTACCCGACGCTCAGCCTCAGAACCACGGAGTTCCTCCCTTATACTTGCAATGACACCTTGCAAAGCTTTTAACTATGCTTCACTGATGTCGGATCAGTAAACCCGCACAACGGCAACAACCATAAGGGCAGAAGCCTGAGCTGCGGCATATCGAAGGTCATTAGCCATGTGAGCACCCGACTGGCCCGCAAGTGACTTCATTGTGGCCGGGGGATGAGCACAACTACTTCACTCATGGGCGGTGATGTCTTCTGATAGTAAGGAATCCCTAGTAATCGCCAACCCGGGGCATATACCTCAAATGATAAGAGGTGAGATGCAGTTTTCATTTCATCAACCATAGAAGGCTTTTCTGACTGGGAAGAACCTCCAGGTGAGCCCAGTGCACCCCCAAACATGAAGTTGGAACCAGGATCTACTAAGAGCGAGCCAATAAACGGCGATGGTGATGTCATTGAAGAACTAGACACCACCACTACCTCTTTCTGCCCAAGCACAAAAAACTTTTCACCGAGAACATCCCCAATACCACCAAGAAGCTTGAACACGGATACAATATTGCGCGTATTACGAGGACATAGGCATGCATTATCGGATTTAGTTTCCTCATCCGACGATGGTATCACATGCAAACTTCATCTTTTCCGAATAGGGGTAGTAACCACGTAGGGCCATCTCCAAGGAAATCTCGGCTTCAGCACCTGTGAAAATAAACACCAAATATAAGAACTCACAAGCCAAAAAGATACCCTGCTCCCATCCTTTTTCTCCTGCTCTAAAAAAGGGGGAGGAGAAGGAGATGAGTGAATACCGCATCTCACGGTGCATAATTGCGTCATCTTCCCACGATCCCTCCAGGAAACACTCATTTTGGCTGCAACAAGAATGAAATCTTCCCAGTTCTCTCCAACAACAATAATACTTCCCAACCGTTTGCCAAGAGTTAGGTTACTCTCGAACAGCTTGGGAAAACGGTCAAGAAGGTCTCGTGTTTTACAAAACCTATTCCCTACAAGGTATTGGTTAACACAGAGACATTGCCTCTGCTAATTTTTCTTTGGAGTATCTTATTCAGAGATTAACTGATGAATGCCCCGCCTTTTCGCTAGAATACGAACACTAGAGTTCATAGTCGAACAGAAAAAACTAACTGAAAGCCCAAAAAGTGGGTATACAACCTAGAGATCGAAGGATCACTTCAAAACCTACAATCTTATTGACGACACTTGGGGTTAACTCGTCAACCAAAAATCCATAGTGATGCACGATCATATCGAAAAATTCAGGCGTCGGCAGGCGAAACCCCGCTTCGAACAAAGGAGTTGGAACCCCCACTTTCCCTTGAGGATAATCATAGATTGATGACCCCTACGCCAGAATCATCAGACCATGCTCCAGTAAGAAACCTAAACGATTTTGCAGAAGTTGGAATTCCTATAAGGTAGGTACTCTGCCATAACGGTCCATTGTCGAGAACAGATGAATGATAGAAAGGAAAACAATGCAAAATGCTTGAGTCAATACAACCAAAGCAAAGAAATGAGGTGAGGATGAAAGGTCTTGGGAAAAGGGGGATTTTAAAGAAAAAATTAGCGTCATGAACCGTCTCGCTATGGATCTGACACATATTGATGGCGTTGTCTAAAGCCAGTCAAGTGCTAAGGATAATCTCATACATATACGTGTTGTAATATAGGCTCGAATGGGGACGCTATCAAGCCGATGCATACACCTACAAGCCTAAGGGACTTGTTAACATATCCATCAGGGAGAAAAACAAAAAAGGAGAAATCAAACCAACGCCAAGCTTGGCTTGGTTAGAACCCGACCAGACCTAGCCCGAGGCCAAGGTCAGGCCTCCGCCAACGTGAAGATTACTGGTATGGCAGTTAAGGTGTAGAGTCACGCCTTAACTTCTTCTCCAGTGAATAACACCCCCCAAACATAGAACCAATCAGGGAGTCCCACTTACTTATCTGGTGATAGCCACGATCCTCATAATATCAAAAGATCCCCTCTAGCCAATGAGGGGATGAGGCAAAAAGACATGATAGAGGATCCTCCAATACGGGTCCGCCACGTCGCACCTCACGAGGGAATGCTCAACATAATCAGTTAAGGGGCACATGCCTCTTAAATAGGTACAAAAGGATCCTTCTTCCTCACGAAGAAAGGGACATACCTCTTTTTCTTGCAATTTACTCTTATTTCTCTCAGACCTTTTTCTAACTTGATCGTCAGAGCTTCGTCCCGCGAATTCCTCCTGGACGTCGACTAACGATCATCTTTCTCTTTTGCACTTTGATATCAGGAGAAGAAACCTGCTCAAAACTCATCTATAATCTCAATCCAACCTTCTCCGATATATCACAACAAGTTGCATGAGTTGTTGGGTCTTTGGAATGACATGAGAGTTTCATATTCTCTCAGGTTGTAGTCGATTAGGGTTCAAGGATTCTTCGAGAGTAAGAGTTGGGATGAAGATTCGTCAGTCGGGGAAAGGGTTATGATTTTCAATCATCAGCATAAGAACTCAAGGAATTGGTATGGTATCATGGGAGGAGATTTGGATTACCTGATTGGTTAAGATTTCAAGAGTATTCATCAGGATTTCAAGAGTTAGGTGATCATTGAGTTTGGCTAGTAATGGAACGGTAGTATTGCTTAGCGCAGGGTATGGTCTGTTCATGCTATCTGAGGGAGATGGATTGGAGTTACATAAGGATTAAGAGGTGAGAGAGCATTGTCGATTCCAGGTGGGGGAGAATTAAGTGGCTATTCAGATTAAGGTTGCGTTGGTGGGAGTTTAGGAAACTCCCGACCGCAGGTCAGTACCTCCATTGGTGTTCATAGTAGGTTGTAGGATTCGAACATGTGACTCGAACTTCTAATTGGTTGCGGGATTCAACTCAGGAAGAGTGGTATTGTGATGGTTTGAGTGTGGTAAGGTCAAGGTTGGTTGGAAGTGTTGTAAGACTACGATGGGATTGTAGCATTCATCAGTTCGAGGTAGACTATTATTGAGATGGTCACGAGTATGGCAAAAGAATCAGTTCGTGCCTTGGGCATGCTGGCCCGGATGGTTGGGGAATTATTATATGTTCTAGGTTGAGGACCATTGGGGTCTGAGGCGGAGTCGGGCCTGGGTGGATCTTGATGAGTGGGGACCATGGGCGAGCCCCGTGTGATTATGGAAATTCAGGTTGGACCTAGAAGGGATCGTCGGGTCAAGGTTTTGGATCTTGAGTTACAGGATCATGCGAGTGATCAGTGTGTGACACAGAGGGGTTTTAGACTAAGTAGCCTTGTTGTTGGACTCTTGGGAACCTGGTGGTTAAACCTGGTGAGAGATTGGTAGTCTCGAAAATTTTTTGAGGTTATTTGTTTATCGTTCAATTGAGGGGTGTCGGGAATTAGAAGGTGGACGATTCTCAGTGACAACGTATCCCAATCACACTGAATGCTCACTTACCAATCCTTTCTCAGAAAATTCCCCGTGCATCAAAAAACTTCTAGTAAAGTGAAGGAGACCAACTTCGCATGGAGAAGTTCAAAGCTTCCATGAGTGATTGGATGGACATGCTTGCCAATCTTGAGTTGTCATCGGGTAGGGCGTGATTACAGCGAGTGTTCGCATGACTTGGGAGAAACCTCTAGAGTCTTATCTTCCTTTAGCTGCTGGTTAGGGTTTGTGCAGGATTTTCATTTCAATAGAATAAGAAATTAGGGTATCTATATGCCAAAGGCATCAACCGCAGGGTTCAAGGGTAAGGAATGGGTTTAGTATGATGACAGATCTAGCCATTATCTTATGTCTTGGGATGGTTCTATCTGTGGAAGAGCCACAACATGGTTGGAAAAGGAGTATGTAGGTTGTTGGAGATCGGGTATGATATGAGGCCGCAGTGGGTCATGTAGCATTCACTTTTAAAAGTAGATTTGGTTGCAAGGTATTTTTGGGAAATTCTTGCCAATCGAGATTTTCTTTCGGGGGTCGTGTGGGGATATTGTGTGCTTGTGTGTCTTCTGGCTCAGCAGTCGGGCAGGAGTCTGGTGTTCCAGATAGTTGGCAGACAAGTTGGGACCAGGGAGGTCTCAGTTGCTTTTGGAAAGCAGCTAGGTGGCATCAAGATGAGTCGGAGTGGTTTCAGTGATTTGGAATTCATGTGCAGAGTCATTTGTTATTCAGGGCTTATGCTAAGTTGTTTGCAGTTGGGTTAAATAATCTCAGAGCAGTTGATTGGACCCTGTTGCGCAGCTCTTGTATGAGTCTAACCGTCGCAGGGAGGGATCTTCTGCATGAAGGATTATCTGAGCCTCTTGTTAAGTGTAAGTGTTCTGCAGCTGTATATGATCAATGATTTTTGTTCCTAAGAAAGCATCAAAATAATTTGGGTTGAAAGTATTTAGTTTAGGCTGGTCTTTTTATGGAATTGGTTCGATAGTGGTTCAGTGTGGGCGGTCTATCGAGGAGTCAGATCAATTTGAGATTTCGGGTTTTGGGAAAGGTAGAGGTGGTTTTCTGCAAGAATTTAAGCTTCGTTTTTTCAGGTTTGGTAAGTTCTGCTAGGGTTGGCTTTAGTTGTCTTGGGGAGGCTGTAGTATTCTCGAGGTTTGGTTGTGTTACTCTGATTGTTTGGCGTGTTGAGAAAGGTAATGACGGATTTCGAAGATGAAATCTAATTTAAGTGGGGAGAATTGTAACATTTTGTTTAAAATAAATAAATAAAATTAAATGAATATATAAATAACTAAAACAAATAAATAATAACCCTAAAACCCTGAGATGTATCTTTATTCTTTTATTAATTTATCGGAATGTTCGCCATGGGGTTTAAAGGTTATAATTTGTGATTTTTGGGGGTCAATTGGTAACATATGGACTTGTGATGAAAAGATTTTAGGAAGCAAAGGCTATTTGGTAAATATCATATTCAAATTGAAAGGGACTTTGATGGCAGGGGCTAAAGTGTTAAAAATGGAATTAAGTTTGAGGAAGACGGGATTTAACCTAGCGCCCCATCCTCTCGTTTTCTTGAATGAGGCCGAAACCCTAAACCTAGTTTTCATAAGATCAACCACCATTTGGTGTACTCCAGCCGTCACCACCCCATTCTCTTGTTTTTCCGATCAACAAAGACCACCAGTGCACCCTTGCTGACCGGCGACACCTAATGAGGGATTGGTGGGCGACCTTTGAGTGTTATCGGTTTCTCATCTCCAGTTGTTGCCGTCAACTACGTCGCCACTGTGAGCCATTGGAGACCGCCACTACGCCGCTTTCATTGAATATGAAGCCATCGTTAGACGCTGTGGTTGTCGTTGTTGTTGTTACAGTCACTCTTTCTTCTCCATTTCTTTCTGCTGTTGTATCTCCGCTGCTAGCGCCAACAGTTGGGGCCGCCACCGCTTTCTCGTCATTCCTTCAGACTTTCGTCCTCCTCCGTCGGTGAGGTTGATGTTTTGATTGGGTGTGTTTTTACGGTGTGTGGGTTCTTGTTTCAATATGTTTGGCGTGTGTTGTTTGCCGTAGAGCAAGAAGACCACCATGGCAGCCAACCATGGTGGCTGCCGCCATTTCTACTTTCTGCCACCATCAGCCACTATGTATGGGTGGTTGTGTGTGTATATTGGTGTTTCAATGCGTGTTTTTATGAGGTCATGTTGTATGGACTTTTTAGCTGGAAAAACCAAAGAATAGCCCACCACCACCGCCATGTGGTGGTGGCTGTCGTCATGGACCACCGTTGACCACCACCGCCCGATGTGGTAGTGGGTGGCTCCCGGCTTATTAAACGCTAATTAACCTAAAAGCCTAACTTGGAACCTAGTTTTCATGAATTTGGGTTGGAAACCATAATTAGGGTTTAGAAACCCTAATGTTAAGAAACCCTAGTTTTGGCATTGGTCGGACCCACGTTAAAGCCATTAATTAAATTCTAATAATACTTAATAATGCCCCTACAATTAACTTAATGAGATTTTGGGCTTAATGGATTAAGTCCTTAATGGGTTAAGTGTTCTTACTTAACCCTAATTATCATTTTATGTGAAAACCCTAATCGTGTTTGGGGTTCGAGTAGGGCCTTCCTTTTGGGCTTAGGTGTTTGGGTTCTTGTTGGGCCATCTTAGAACGAGTGTATGGAGTAGGAAAATTGGATGGGCTTTAGGGTATGGCCCATGTAAGGAGTTTGGGCCCAATTTGGAAAACTAGGCCTTGGTTAATTATCTGGCTTTTGAGCCTTCAGAGTTTGAGTTTGGGCCTTGGTCTTGGACCAAGCTAGGTTAGGGGTAAAATAGTATTTTTTTTTTTTTTTTACCCCAATTATGGATTTATGGTTATGCACTGGCACCCAATTGTTAATTTGGCGTTGTTTTGATGATTGACAGTTTGGGGATCTGTCAGCCAACAGGCGGGGTTCGTGTGTGTGATTCGGTAGTGTGAGGTAAGTATTCTCACAATATCCATGGGTCGAAGGCACCAGTGTCGACCCATTACGTGTTATGTGGTATGCTAGTTGTCTTTGTGATACTTACATGGAAAACCACAGGGGGGTGGCATTTGGATATTAGACCATGGGGGAGCCCATGGCATACTAGATAAAGACCATGGGAGGAGCCCATGGCAACTATTTGTGTATTTCATGATAATATGTGGTTGTATGTTGTATGATATTTTGGGGAACTAACTAAGCTTTGTGCTTACGGTTTTTTGGTTTAAGTTTCAGGTACTCTGGTTTTCAAATGGAAGGGCTCAGGATGATTCCAGAGCACACACCACATGTTACCCTTTTCTGTGGTTTACTCTTATTTATCAATGTTTTGTTAAAACTTAATTACTCTGTTTTTTATGGGATGGACATGTATTAACGATCTATTAAACTAAAAACCAAAAAAAAATATATATATGTCATAATTTTCGGATGTTACAATCAAACTCATAATTTTTTTTCACTATAATTTTGACACTTGATAAACTACTAAGCATTTTTAAAAAGCATAAGTTGATTTAATTAAACAAATCTCAAACACCATACTTTTATGTCTAAAATTGTCATTATCAATATCTTACATATGATTGTTGTTAGGTGCATTTTGTGCACCTTTTTGCACAACTTTTAGTCCCATTTGTGGATCCATTTAGCATAGTTGTCTTTCATTTTTCTTGCATTTCATCAAAGTCATGTTAGTCTCTAGAACAATCTTATTTGCACGCTTTTATGGGCTTTTCAAGTAAATTGGAGGTTGAAACGCATTTTGGAAGGCGCCGGGAACCACGGGTGAAGATTCTAGGATGATTGGATGCAAAACGAAAAAGTTGGAAAAATCAAGATTGGACTTGGAAGTAAGAGCATACATGGGGCGTGTTCGATTTTCACTGAAAAACGGACACGGGGCGTGTTTGACCAAAAAGGAGCTATTGACCATGCTGAACACGACCCGTGTCGGTTTAGCCTATTTCGACACGAGCCGCGGTCGACCCAAAAACTGCCTTTTTACATTTTTTTCCTATGTTTCATATTACGGGATTAGAGCCATTTTATAGGAACGCATCATATCAGAGCACTATTGGGGAGAGGATTTTGAAGGCTTTTGCAAGGATTTGATCATTTATCATTTGGAAACATTATTTCTATTATTTGTAAGTTTTAATTGTGTACCATTTCCATCCTTTCGACTTGTGGTCTTGTTCTAGCCATGTATGGCTAGAACCCTAGTTTCTCCAACTTTATGTCTTGATTTTTAGTTGTGATTTCAATCATATGACTTGATGTTTGTTTTTAATTTCTATATAGTGAATTTGATTTCGTTTCAATCAAATGTCTGATTTGATTTTAGTTCTTATTGGCCATTTGAATTCGGGTTAGATCATTTAAGTGATCTATTTTGCAAAATCTGTAATTGTTTTGTGAAATAGAGCAAGTAACAAGCACCAAATTGAATTCTTTTGAATAAATATAGTGTAAATCATTTTCGCACATTCTGACGCTCCCAAGCTTGTGAGGAATATTGAATGTTTTTGGGAACATTCACATAAAGTTTAATGCAATCTTTCGATCTAACTCTAAGAGCTTGTTTAGATTAGCTTAGTGAGGTTAGAGTTAATCAAAGAGCTTATTTTAGTTAATTAATGTGGTGAATGGAAAATGTTAGAGCTTTTTAACACTTTCAAGTACCAATTTGGGTAGAATTGAACAAATATCATGTCATCTTGGAATCACATTGCTAAGTCATTAGACATAGAGTTGGAGTCTTTAAAAATTTCTGAATTTACTTTAATTAGTTAATCATTTGTTTGTCCTTTGCTTCATTTATTTGAATGGTTACATACAAAACCCCCCTTTTTACTTTTGGTGACCAAAATATCTTGCGCAAAGAGGTATAGATTGATTATCCTCTGTGGTTCACTACAAGAAACGTTGTACCCATTTATTTGTCATATGGTGACCAAAATATCTTGCGAAAAGAGTTAAAAAGATACTATTACAATTACTAAAACTTTTTGTCATATGAGTTTGTAATTTAATGAAGGTTAGTTATAAGTTAAATTGAACTTAAACTTTAAATTTTCATAACTATAATACGCATGTCCCAGTAAGGAAGCAAATTACCGAAAATATACTATTCGTTGGCCGTCGAATGAAAATAGATCGCCATGCAAAAACTATTATTCAAAACGAAACTTATCGCCGTGCGGCACATTGAACGGATACACCACTACTAATATAAATATAAATTGAATCATCGGAGATTTGAAGTCTTTTTTGAAAAAGCTTTTTGAGTCATCTCCAATAATCAAATGCCATTTTCCAAAATTCGCTTCCTAGTTCTGAAAAAAATCTTAAACACGAGCCATCTAAATTGTAAAAACATTCGAAATCCAATCGATATTTTCCACTATTTCTAGTGTCAATTGATTCCAAAAGAACAAAAACAACCAGAACTCACAATTTAAAGAATTAAAAACCAATGTTATATGTCAAACCTCAACCTAATGTTAAACGCACAAGTGTTCCCTATTATTTACATGATTATAAGTATCACCCTTTGATACAGAAAAATGCCCTTATCTTTTGAGCCAAATTCCGAGTTTGGGGGGTAAACTCGGGGACAATTTCTGGAATGAATTTGTCAATATTATCAACTCCTATTTTTTCAAATGCCCGAACAAGTGTCCTCATGAGCCGTTCAACATTTTTCTGAAATCCATGTGAACTCTTCTCCTCGCCCACATTAACACCACATCCAACTCTTACACCTTTAGTATAACCTCTACAAATTGTCAAAATACTAACTGCACGATTATGAAAATGCCCAATCACCAAATCTTCAAAATGCTGCATAAAAAAGAACTATTAAAATATCAAAACATGCCCATATCTAGAACCATATATTTGTTAAGCCCTATTGTTATAGAACATGTTGTCATGAGACAAAATTTAGGCAAAATAAGATGGGATGAGACTATTGTCAATGATACCAAAATAACAAGCTTTGGTTCTGTCAAAAAGACGAAAAGTTGGTAAATGACTCATGTAAAAAAGGCAATAATAATTGTAATTTTTGTCCAACCTAAAACGATGCAAAAGGATGTGAGGAAATGAGACAAAATTTTACACAAAAATATGGAAGATTAGTGATATACCAATTAGAAAAAGAAAATTACAATTTTTCTTCTCCTACCCAAAATATGTGGCCCGATGATTGTCCGATAAAACCTATAATTTTTTTGTGATACAGACAAAATTTAGTCTTGCCCAAACAAGTGAGATCGACAATGAAACAAAAGTTGCAAATTTTGTGACTTACCAAAAGAGGGAACAAGACATGATATATTAATGAATAAGTTGCAATTTTTCCTACTTTAAAAGGGGAAGGATTAAGAGAAATTAAATATCATCCTACCTTTTATTCCTACATTTCATCCTATCCAATTAAATGGTGATATGTATAACATTTAATGTTCATTTAATGAAATTTAAAGATATTTTAGGATACTAATATAACACATGTCATTATTTAAATGAATGGAAGGATTTGTAGGACCAAAATGTAGGATGATATTTAATTTCTCTATGTAAAAAGGCGGAATAATATGGGGTATGTGGAGACTTGTTCTCATTTATTTATTTATTTTTTATTTATTTTTATTTTTTTGTGAAAAAGATGGAAAGACCTTGGTTATCATATATAATAGCTTTAGAAACTTTTAGAGTCCCATTAATTAAACCAAACACAGCCTTAATTAAAGTGACATGTTCTATGGCCTAAATGAAATAACTAGTTAATTTCACCACATAGAACAATTTATAGATATAGACAATAATGGCATCAAAACATGAGGTAACTACAGAAATCATACCTTAGGTGGATTCCTCATGGTGTAGACCATAGTTTTGAGAGAATAAATCAAAGTCCGCTCATTATATTTCATCGAACGATATTCCCCAGTTCTAGAGCCACTCGGACGTGCAAATATCGGATCATTAAAATAGGGTTTTTCATTCAAAATCAAACCCTGTATAGACACCAAAACTTGTAGCATACTCGAAACGCCAGGTGTCCACTTCTCATTCTTGCCACCACTCCAAGTGTTCAAAAGGCTCAAACAAACTTTCCCATCGTAATGAAGATTCGGATTAATTATCAAGCCACTAGAATGATAATGCACTTTCTGAAAATAACCGTTTAATTGTTATAAATATTCATTAAAATGAATAAAACCTTAAAAATAAAGTGGAAAAAAAAAAAAAAAAAAAAAAAAGGAAGAGATCGATGCGACATACTGGGGGAACATCTGGATACTTGTAAGGGAAGAACACATCAAAGAAAAAAAGACCATCATGATATGGTGTCCCTTCAGCTCCTATAATCACTGCTCTTAAAAGATCCATTCTTGATTCATAAACCCTAACAAATATTGTATCTGTAATTATATAAATAACAAGAATTTAATTCAACCCAAATATCACAATCTGGAGATGAAAACAAGTTGTGAAATCTAACAAAATATACCTGGCAAGGCCTTCTTGAGCATTCGCCATTCTTTTTGTATCCTTTTAGCCCAGTTTTTTTGTGGCTGTATAAGTCAATTAATATACAAACGACACCAAATTTGTAAAAATATTTAGTTTCGTTCTATCTAAATATTAAAACAAAAAAGATAACACTCGTATACCGATTAAGTACATTAAGTTAGAAAACACCATACAAGACAAAAGAAATCTACACTTGCCTGCATTTTTTCCGAATTTGGCCCTTTAACTTTATAGTGATGATCAGAATAGTCCTCAACAATATCAAACTTGTTGAATTCCCGATACTTTCTCATCACTTCATTGCGTTTTTGTTGGATCATGTTGGAGTAATTATAAATCCCCATTACATTTGAGCTGTTTTGGATCTTTCTGGAATCTTGATTCGACGTGATCAGATCTTCTATACGAGTGAGTTTTTCTGAAGTGGAGGACATTATCTTGCGATTAACTGAATCTTGTTCTACTACGCCACTGTAAGTTGGTGAGATAATGATGCCCTAAAGAATAGAGAAAGTGATGATCATTAGTTATTTACAAAGTAGAGAATTTCAATTTTCACACATGTATCGAATCAAAGCATTTGAATAACAATGAAGTAGATATGATCGAAGTAATTAACTGCATAAGAATGACAATAAAAATCAAGAAACCTGCATTGAACTTATTCTTATTACCTCGTCTTCTTCATGCATCTTGTTCTTGCCTTTTAGCGGATGATTACAAGGCGAAGAAGACGTCTCTAGTTTGGATTCCGTGCTGGAAGATCTCCCAGGAAACACTCTTTTCCTAACAAAACCTCCACGTATATATAATTATAAAGACACCATGGATATACTAATTAATGCCCAATTATATCTACCATGAAAGAGAAAGAATTTTACGTTGAGTTTTGAGAGTTGCATCTTCCTGCCTCCGGCGACCCCATTTATCGGCAACGGCAACAGAAGTCGGGGATTAATATATGTAAATTCCAATGTAAATCTGGACGGGAAACCTCAAGGGTTTAGTCAGATGATCGGAAGTGGTAATTTGGTGATGCAACAAAAACGGGTAAAGAAATAGATGTATGGATTATTATTATTATACAAGAATGTTAATCACAAAATCATGTATTGGATTTGTAGCGGAATAAGTTTACTTAATTATAGTCAATCCGGTATTCTATATAATTATCTAATTAAAAAGTTCCTTTTTTTTTAATTTCAAGTTTTAAGTTTGATAAGTGATAACAATCAATGTTTTTCAAAATAAGTCGCTATAAAATATTTAGCAAAGTTTACATGTTTCTCTATTGTTTTCCCAACTTTCTTTTTATAAAACCCTCTTGATTTTTATTTCTCAATTTTTTTTTTGGATTTGTTTTTGTAAAATCTATTTATAGATTAGTCATTACAATAATTTTAATTGCAACACTACAACAAAACCAAGCTAACACAACACATGTAAAATGTCACTACAATAATACAAATCTATAGGGACGATACCTATAGGGACGGCAAAAGTCGTTTCTATAGATCATCTATAGAGACGACATGTCGTCTCTATAGGGTTGACCAACATTTTTTGACTCATTAATCTATAGAGACGACGTGTTGTTGCAACAGATTATGCTGATAATTGGCGGGTTTCTGAAAAGATGTAGCTACGACATGTCGCCCCGACAATTTAGGCGGGAATTTTCGCGGGATACGGAAAGCATACAGGAGCGACAGGTCTTCCCAAAAACAAATTAATTAGATGTATTTTATATGTTTTTTTAATTTGTTGTTTAATCAGAATATGGAAGGGGTGTGGATCGTCCCATAGGTTTCTACTCCCGGAATCGTGAATATGTCATCACCTTCTCTCGTTCAATCGCAACTGTTTTCACATTTTCCTCTCTCTCGATCGGTGACTGGTAGACGCCGAACACCCCCTGGCACAGAGGACGATCGCCTTCAACTCCGGCCTCATCAGCAGCGATAACTATTCTTCTCCTTTGATCGACAATTTGCTTCTTTCCAGATGCGAAATCAACGGCCACTTTACCACCCAGACTCCACTGCACAACGACTCTATGTCTACTCTATGTCTGTACATTACTAGCATGACGATTTCAATAAAGGTACACCATAGATTTGAAATCTTTGTTACATTGATGAATATCTACATGCGATTTCTTATCATCAAACTTATATACCAATAAATTTCTCTAATATCAGATTGTGCAAGGTAAAACTGATAAAAAGGATGTTATAATCGCATGATATCACCAGTAGATCATGTAGGCTTTTTTGTATATACGATTGTGTAAGTTTTGATCACTTAACCAATTATTAACAATAATTGTTCGATTTGGATCAAATTTGCATTTGTTTCTTGCTTGTGTTGTACATCTTGAATGTATATGATTCTATATTCAACCAACATTATAGGACAAACTTGTGTATGTGACAATGAACCTAGTTTGATCCTTGTATATAACACTGATAATGATATATTGGATTGAAATTCAAGTTTTGAGAAACTTGTATCTGAATTAATCGTTAATTCTAAATTTCTGATACATGCATCAAATTTGATGCTTTGGCATGCTTTGGCACCATAACAGGCTATGTTTCTATTGCTGATTTGGAGTCTGAAATTTGTTTTAATAATATCATTATTATAATTATAACAAGCCTTTTTGTATAAGATATAAACTATAGATCTACTCTGAGCCTTATTCCCTTTTTCGTTTACATGAACTAGTGATAGGATCATAGGACGAAAATACCCTCCTCAAGTAAGCTTAAGGTCTCGCCTTATTCCCTTTTTCATTCTGAATAAAGACTGAAAGAAATCGGAGGATGGACCGAGTGGTAAATACTCAAACCATTCATGTTTTAATTTCACCTAATTTCTTGTTTGTGTATGAAAAATAACTACCTTTCTTTATCCAAAGTAGTACAATTATACATGTTGTTTTAAGAAAATAAATAGCCATGATCCTTGACTCTATTCTATGACTCTTCTTTACATATTACAATTGAAACAGATACAAATTTTTTAGACATTTGGAATATGAACAAATTGCATATCCATTTGTTTTTTTTTTTTTTTTTTTTGTATAAATATGAATTTATTATAGCAGCAAACTTATACAATTGTCTTTTCCAGCTTATTTACAATGGATGTGTACTTTCTTAAGAATCATTTGATGTTGAGAGTTGTGTATGTGACTTTAATCTAAACTTTTAAAGTTTCAACTTTTTAAATTTATATCACAAAGTTAATGATTTCACTTGAGAATTAATTTTCTTCCTATTCTGTTTCTACAGTTCAAAGTTCAGACGGAAAGCTGTCCGGAATCATCAATTCTAGAGTTACATCTCCACTTGTTGCAAAAGGGGAACCCCCCCCCCCCCCCAAACTGGGAATCTGGTCCGAAGAAGAGAATCGATCATTCACGAACAACGGTTAGAAACTACGTGGTTACAAAACTGGAACGGAATCAGGTATTACCGCAAGATGGCTGTAACGCCCCGTTTATTTAAATAAATTAATAGATATAATTCCCTGAATAATTTGTAAAGGAATTGAAAGGGGAGGGTTTAAATGGTAACTTATAGACTTCTTTTGAAGGAATTTCATGGAGGAGGGACCAAAGTGGTCGTTATGGCAAAGATTTGGTGGGGGACGGGGTATATAGCTTCGTTACCAGTCATGCCCTAGCCCCAAGCCTCTTATGTTGCAGCCGCCATCGTCGGGATTCTCCAGCCGCCGATCTCACCCTTCTCCGACGTACATCGCCGCCTTCCTCGTCTGTGAAGTCATAGAAACAAGACCACGGTGGGGCTGCCATCTCTCTCCTTCGCATCCATTTTTCGATCAGTTGAGGCCGCCAGCGACCACCGTGCCAATGGAATGCCACTGTGACTTCCCGATATCGTGGTTAGAAGAAGCGAACCCACCTCCGGTGAGTACCTCAGCCGCCATACGTGAGCACCCCAGTCGCAGTCGCTTTTTGCTCGCGTTTTTCCGACCAGCCGAGCCGCTGAGCGTAATAGCTTTTATCTCCGAGGGATGGCAGTCGACAGCGTGGCTTCCGGGTGTGTGTGAGTCGTCATCTTTCCGCCATCCTCCTCCTTCTTCTTTTGTTGTCGATGTTCAGGGTCCGACTCGACTGTCTGGCGTCGTTCTGACCACCCTTCGCCATCGTTTTCCCAATAGACGAGTGGCCGCCGCCACTCCGAGCAACCGATGTACGACGCTGCTGCCGCCTTTCCGGAGTTCTGCCATCGCCAAGCACCACCAGATGGTGGTTGTGCTACTTTTCCAAGCATAAGGGTGGGTGTGTATGTTATTTTAGTGATGTATGATTAAGATTGGTTGATCGGAAAGCCAGGAATAGCCACCGCCACCACCGTGAGGTGGTGGCTGCCGCCAAGCATCGCCGCCGGCCACCATGGTGTGGTTGTGTGTGTAGTTAGCTTAGTTAGTTAGTTAGTGTGTGTGTGTGTGTTAGTTTTGGAGTAAAACTTGTAATTGTAATTAGCTTGGATTATTAATGAAAATAATAATAACCACCACCGTAAGGTGGTGGCCGCTGCCGTAAGCCGCCATAGACCACCACTACCCGAAGTGGTAGTGGGTGGTGCCCCTCAAGCAAAACCCTAATGGACCTAGCCAAAACCTTAATGGGCTTAAAGAATTATTTTGGGCCTATTGGGCCATATTTGAGTGGAAAACCCTAATTGTGAGTAATTGGGCCTTAGACTTTTATTGGACCTACTTTTGGGCCATTGGGATTAGATTGTGAATTAAGCCCAAAATATTTCATGTCATTTGTTAAGTAGAGTAAAGAACTTAATGGACTAAGTCCTTAATGAGTTAATTGAGAAAATATTAATATTTAGGAATTTATCAGGGCACACAAGAATTATCTAATAAGTGAAATATTAAATAATAATCATTGGCAGAAATTAATCTAAGCAATAATGGACTTAATGGATTAAGTCCTTAACGGATTAAGTCCCTAGTGGGTTAAGTAAGAAACACTTAACCATAGTTATCATTTGATGTGAAACCCTAATTTCACTTAGGCTTTGTATTGGGCCATCCGAGAATAATCAAATGGACTAGAGTAATTAGTTGGGCTTTAGGGTAAGGCCCATATGAAGGATTGGGCCCAATTTGGAAAATTGGGCCATAGTTGGGGCCTAGATGGTTGTATGATATTGGGCCCTAGAACGATACATGTTGGACTGGACTGATCAATTGGGCCATATGTTGGACTTTAATCCCTAGTTGACTTTGGGCCTATGGATTGGGCCTTGGGCTTGGGTAAGCCAAGCTAGGGGTAATGTAGTAATTATCCAAAGCATGTATTTTTAGTTGTGTGTTAGAACCCAATTATTAATTGGGTGTTATTTGGTGTTGACAGTTCGGGAATCTGTCAGCCAGCAGCTGGGGTGGAGTCTGCGGGACTTCAGCAGTGTGGGATTGTGTCAACGGGACTTCAGCAGTGTGGGATTGTGTCAACGGGACTTCAGCAGTGTGAGGTGAGTTTCCTTCCGGTAGGAACGGGTCTAAGGCCACAATGTCGGCCCGTTTAGTAGCAGTAGTTTCCGGACTTGGGTCCGATGCAGTTGTTAGTTTGTTTGATGCCTTCGTGGCTCAGACAGGATTTATGTGTTAAGTGTTATGGGCTACGGCCTGACGTAGTATGCAGTATATGAGTTTATGATCATGTGTGTTATGCTATTTGATATGTGTTTTGCTATGCTATGCTATGCCCAGTCAGTTCCGGACTTCGATCCGATGCAGTTAGTTCCGGACTTCGGTCCGATGCAGTCAGTCCCGGACTTTGGTCCGATGCAGGGGACAAGGTCCCAGTCAGTTCCGGACTTTGGTCCGATGCAGTTAGTTCCGGACTTCGTTCCGATGCAGGGGACAAGGTCCCAGTCAGTTCCGGACTTCGGTCCAATGCAGTTTCCAGACTTCGGTCCGATGCAGGGGACAAGGTCCCAGTCAGTTCCGGACTTCGGTCCGATGCAGTTTCCGGGCTTCGTTCCGATGCAGTGGGCAAGGCCCAATATGTGTTTATATGTTATTGTATGGTATGTGGTGGTTTGAGGGATCTCACTAAGCTTCGTGCTTACAGTTTCAGTTTTGGTTTCAGGTACTCAGTTTTCAAAAGAGGAGCTCGGGAAGATTGCAGTGCACACACCATTTGTTCAGCCTGGGATGTTTATACTCTGATATATTTGACAGTTGTTATAATATTTTGAGATACATTGCTTATGATTTCTATATGAGGTTTATTGACTATGGTTTTATCATTAAATTAAACGAAATTTTCAGACTGTGTTTTTGGGACGTTACAATGGCGCTAACCACCAGCGGCAGATGGTGGCGATGGACCCATGTCACAGGAGAAATGGGAAGATGAGTTGACACGTGAACTTAATCTTTTTAAGATAAAAGACGGAAATACCCTTTTGAAGGAACATATTGGGCAGCAATTTCTGATGTCACCGAGCTTGTTGCATGACGGTAGTTTAATGGGCAAGTAAGTGGTCAACAAACTAGTTCTTTTTTTCTTGCGTGAAGGTAAAAGACCAAAATACTCTTTTGCAGAATGCAATAATTGGTAACAATTCTTTTGGTTTTTTTTATATAGGGGATATGAGTCTGGATCAGGTGGTGGTGGTTGTTTCTATTTTAACAAGAGGCGGAATAGGAGGGGGAAGGTAAACTTTTAGGTAGTGTTTGGTATGTTGGAATTGGGGAAGGAATGGAATCGTTCATTCCATCGAATTGAAAAAAAAATGTTTATTTGGTTTGTGTGGTGGAATGGAATGTTTGTGTGGTGGAATGGAATGGACCATTCTTGAAAGAATCTGATTCCTTCCTTTTTGTAGTTTTCGCTCAGAAAGAGCATAATAGAGAAAGTCAGGCTTCACCATATTTTAAATAATCATATATCCAGTCAGCACTTTATGCAGACAATAAATAATAGAAAAAAAAAATTACTTGTAGATATGCTCTTCTCACTTTGTAATTTAAATTTGAAAATGCAAGTGTTGCTTATTGGAGGCTTAACAGGTACTATGCTTGAAGCTTTACAAGTTATTGGAGGTGTTTTGAAATTGGGAGTATAAACAATTGAAGAATTTGATGCAAAGTTTGGTAGATCTGAACTAGTATAGTTTTAAAACATGTAATGTTTGGGAATCTTCCTTCAATTTGTACCGTTTAAAGCATATAATAAAATCATTTAACACTATTTATTGCAATTAAATTTACGGCTTTAGCTATTTTGTAAATATATTGCTTTAACTATTTTGGGATTGTCAAAACTTGAAAAATACACAGAAAAAAGAGCAGAGTGTAAACTTGTGGGATACCTATAGAGACGACATGTCGTCTCTATAGGTAAATGTACATCTCTATAGATTAATCTACTACCACGACCTGTCGTCGCTATAGGTCAGTGTATGTCATGGTGTATAGCTTTATCTATAGACACAACATGTCGTCTCTATAGCTGTTTCTATTGGGACAACATGTCATCTCTATAGCTTTATCTATGGTGATCGGGAAAGCATAGCGATGAACCCTTTAGAGACAATATGTCGTCTCTATAGGTAAGCTATTGCGATGATATGTATAGCGACGACAAAAATAATCTGTTGCGACGGGGCTACGGAGACGAACGTTATAGGGACGACTTGTCATTGCTACCATCTATAGGGGCAACTTTAGTATCTATAGAGATGATAATTGTCATCCCTATAGGTCTCGTTTCTTGTAAGTGCCCATTTTGGAATAAATAGCCATATATATGGTTCCTTGATTCCTTTAAATGTTGACAAATTATATATATATATATATAATATATATATATATATATATATATATATATATATATATACACGTTCAGGTTCATTTGAGACCATTCTAATTTTGTAAGACCGTGAGACCAAATCTAAAAATAATTTTAAAATGCAAAATAAATGGAAAAATCCAAAAAATCTTTTTTTAAATATTATTTTCGGAACTTGAATTAACTAAAAAAAATAAAAATAAATCCCGTTTTTTTGAAAAATACGTGAAATATTCTAATAGAATATTACACTGTGTATATTCTAAAAAATAATTTTAAAATGCAAAATAAATGGAAAAATCTAAAAATTCTTTTTTTAAATATAATTTTCGGAACTTGAATTAACTAAAAAAAAATCTTGTTTTTTTTTTAAAAAAATACGTGAAATATTCTAATAGAATATTACACTGTACATATTGTAAAACATAATTTTAAAATGGAAAATTCCAAAAAATCGTTTTTTAAATATTATATTCGGAACTTGAATTAACTAAAAAAAATAAATAAATAAAATGCGTCTCACGGTCTCACAAAACTAGATCATCTCACATGAATATATATATATATATATATATATATATATATATATATATATATATATATATATATATATATATATATATATATATATATATATATTCGAATAATTTTTTTTTTGTTAAACACTATAAGATTGGTACTAGAAAATTTTAAGTTGAGGCATAATTTTTCTTTTATATAGCACCTAATAAAATTTATAAAATTGGTGGGGTACTTTACCATAAAACGTAAATTCGCCTATATGGTGTTTCATTATTCCCAAAAAGATGTTGCCCTATGCATAATGCAATAAAGGGCCCAAGGGTTAAGGCAACATTTTTTTAGAAACTCCAATCACATTTTTAAAGTGTAGCATGGATTTTAAAGATGCAACACTAAGAAGTACAACATATTCTACACCAAGTGCTAACATATTTTTAGGACCGGCCTAATGGTTGGGGCAAACTGGGCGATGACAAAGACCCCATGGATGTTAGGGCCCAATTTTAAAACTGTTAACATTTATTTAATTACTAATATGTAAAAATTTATAAAAAAAAAAAAAAAAAAAAAAATAGATAGCGCAAACCTTTTAAGCAATTTTCCCAAATTCGATTTTAGGGAATCTTTTTGTTTCCTCCTAATTATGAGTAGTGGTGAGCAAAACTGCTCCGCAACTCAAATTAATTGAAAAAACTATATAAACTGCAACCGTAATAAAAGTTGGTGGTGAGGTTTTCTGTTTTTCAAAAACTGCAAATTTATGGTGCGGTGTAGTTCTTAGTTTTCAAAAACCGCAAAAAAACCATACCACACCGCATATATTATATACAATGTTTTTATTAATTATTAATATATTAAATATTAAAAATAAAACAAGTTTCATAGATAAAAAATGATAGAATTCTAAAAGACAAAACTATTAGTTTTTTTGTTATATTTAACTTTAGAACATAGTGAAATTTAACAATTTTAAGATATTTATTGTTAATCATTAGTGATTTGATGTTTTTTAAGATATTAATTATTTGTGATTTAAGTTAATTTTCTTATATCTTATGGTTTTATTATTATTATTAAAAGTAATATATTTAAACTTTAAAACCCG